AAATGATGTATTTTTTAAAATAGCTATTCCATCTACCCATGGCTGTGACCTTGCTCAAGACTGATTTGACTTTGTCGCTGTCGTGTCCCTGCTCGCTCTGGGACTTCAGGCAAAGCATTTAACTCCTTTGTCCCTCTGTTTCCTCCTCTGGCAGGCGAGTATAAATACCTGGATGCTCAGAGAAAAAGCATTTATAAATTGCTTTAGTGATTTCCCCACAGAGCTGCTCAATTAACTACTGATGTTGTTATGGACCCCTCCAATTTCAGTTTTCTGTGGTGAGAAAAGCACTGGTAGTTAACAACCTCCTAAGCAAGGAATTGCTGTTTTCCAGCCTTGCTGCCAACCCACAGCAGCAACAAGAGCTGGTGCCCACCCTGTGCTAGGACACGGCGTGGGAACCTACTGCAGATTTCTATTTACACCTCCAAGCTCAGCCGCCAAATTTCCCCTCCAGGATAAAAAACTGCTGCTGAGGTTGTCGCCTAAAAACATTTCCCTTCCTTGTTTACTCTAAAAACCAAGGATGTCCCAGCACTGAAGATCACTGAGCACCCACCTCCACACCCCCATGCACTTTTAGGAGTTTCCATACAGATCTGTGGCGCTCTAGGCTGCCAAAATGCTCCTGTGCAGGCAGCAATCATCTCCAACTCCATGGATTTTGTGATCTGAAGTAAAACTCCACCCCTAAAGATTCCCATTCCATGGAACAGGGCTTACCCTATCCCCACAGCTGCCTGGAAGCAGAAGACCCTCAACCCATGGGCCAACTGCCCATCCATGTCCCACAACCATCTTGTTGGGACCTCAGAAATCTCGAGAAGCCCTTCCAGAGCAGGAGCTGGGAGATGGGAGTGAGCTCAGGGCCAGGAGAACATGCAGAAGATATTTGGGGCCGTTCTCCATCCCTGACCTGAGCCCTGCCATAGCCCAAGGTGACCTTCCCAGTGGTCCTGGGGGTCCTGTGCTCCGTGGGCACACAGGGAGCAGTGCTGGGTCACAGATTTGAGGGGTGCAGCTCTGAGTGTCAGAGCACAAACCCTGAACGAGTCACCTTGGAGACAGTAAATTTGATAATTACTCTTCAAATGGGGACTGTTCAGGAATGGTTTTAAAGAAATAGTTGCAATTACAGTGTTCTCCCTTGGGATGTACTTAAAAGATGGCTCTTGATTTGAGCTCATTTCCAGGCAGTTGCAGAGCTATTGCTGGAGGCAGGGCAGGGACTCGGGGGGATACCCTGTCTGTCCCACAGGGGGGGACCCCTCAGGCCCACCCAGGTGCCTCTCCAGAGCACAGGGGACTGAGGATCCTTCCCACAACCACTGCAGCACATCTGCAAACATCTGTGTGCCGAGGGCGTGACCCTTAATGGGTCCCATTTATTCACACAGACAGAACTGGGGAAAATAACAGCGACCATTCCCAGTGATTTATTAGGGACAGTCCTACAGGAGAGGCAACACAGAGTCTCAGACTTGGAGCTGAGATAAAGCAGAGCAAGATTTTCATATGAGCCCATAGTGGAAGCCACTGAAAAATGCATAAAAGACGCAAGAAAAACACTTTCCCTGTCTGGAAAGCAAACCAAGAGAAAAAATCAAGAGGGAAAAAAGGGAGCCCAGATTAACACGGATAAAGAGCGAGGAAGGCTCAGTATCTGATTAGCCTGGTTTTACTTTCCCTGTATGACTGGTCCCCTAAAGGTCTGACCCTCAGGGCAGAGCTGGAAATTGCTGTTCCATTTTCCCTGCCCAGGAATGATCCAGCCCGAGCACATCTTGTGATCAATCCCAGGGGCTGAGCCCCAGAGCCTGGGCCCCACTAGGAAAAGAGATTTTCTTCTATCTCATTAATTAAAACATGTTAACCAACGGGAGACAAAATTCAAGCAATGCTAAGTGATTTGAAATTTTAATCTTGAGCTGGGAGGGGAGTAAATCCAAGTGTCTCCACATGCTGTGGATCCCTCCACAGGGAAGCTGTGCATCCCTCCACAGGAAAACTGTGTATCCCTCCACAGGGCAGCTGTGGATCCATCCACAGGGAAGCTGCTGTTACAGCACAGGGCAGGTAAGGGGAGCACCCACCTTTATTAACCCCCAGTCTCACAGTCTCTGCCCACCATCGACTCTCAGTCACCTCAAGGCCCCTCCTGAACAGCTTATCCAGGGTTTTAATCCCACATGGATTCTCCATTAAACAAGCAGTGCTTGCCTATGCAAATCAGACCTATTTATTCCACACCAGAGATGCACAACTCCTCAGGGCAACTCAGCCACTGGCTTGAGTTTGGCCAGAAGTGGTTGAAAAGCTCATTTGTGTTAATTGGCAGCGACTGAAATGCAGCTCATTGGGCAGCTCGGAGCACAACGGGAGGTGCCTCCACCAGTCCCCCCAGATCCTTGGATTTAACACACAGCTGGGCAGCCAGAACCCTTAAACCAGCTCTCAGTTCCTCCAGAAGACAATGGGTTCACAGAATCCTGGATTTAAGGATTTGCATTTGCACCACTTCAAACTCCCTGTGACACGAGAGCAGGTGAATGCTGAGATTCCACCTCTGAGAAGTGAAACATTTCTTGCCCTTTTATTTCATAGAATGGTTTGGGTTGGAAGGGATCTTAAAGATCATCTTGTTTCAACCCCTCTACCCCAAAGCCCTAAAGATGACATGTTAGAGGAATAACACTTATTTCACTACACTTTGGACAAGGGCCTGGAGGGACAGGACAAGGGGGAATGGCTTCCCACTGCCAGAGGGCAGGGTTAGATGGGATATTGGGAAGAAATTCTTCCCTGTTCAGGTGGGGAGGCCCTGGCACAGGCTGCCCAGAGAAGCTGTGGCTGCCCCATCCCTGCAAGTGTCCAAGGCCAGGTTGGAGGGGGCTTGGAGCAACCTGGGCTAGTGGAAGGTGTCCCTGCCCATGGCAGGGGGTGGAATGAGATGGTCCTTAAGGTCCCTTCCAACTCAAACCATTCCCTTATCTATGATTCCTTAACACTTGGCACTTGAAGCCCTGACTTAGAACAAAACATTTGACAGAAGAAAAGAGAAAGAAAAAAGGGACCAAACATTTTTCCTTAGAAATACCTTGGATGGTGACCAGAGTTTGGGTGTCCAGGACTGCACCTGCTCATCTAACCTGGCACCTAACCCTAAACCCACTCCCTCTGCTTTTCAAGTGGGAGCATCCAATTCCTCGTGGACAGCAGATATCACTCATGGAAACCCTGCAGGTTTCAGTCCCACCTCCTGAGTCTCTGCTGTCCTGGAGGGTTTGGCTCCATGGAGCTGCTCACCCTCCCCAAGGGCCATTCCCAATGGCTACTGCAGGAATTGCTTCACCAGGAACACCATCCTTCTCTCCCTCCCAGCAATAACAGCTCTGGAACTGTAACTTCATCTCCTTCCACTGTTGCCAGACTGCTAATTAAATGATAATTACTTTGAGATGTAATATGTATAACTATCAGGCACTTAACGGGAACGTGTTATTTACTTTTCTTTTTTTAACATGAATATATTTTTTTCTCAAGGGCGGCCAAGCAGTTGACTTTCACTCATGTTCTTCCTCTCCACTGAGCACAAAAATCACGGCGAACAAACTTCACAGGTAAACAAAGTTCTCTTTGTCAGACCCATCTCTGAACTCACCCCAGCACCAACTCCAGCACCAAACTGGGGCTGAAGGATCATGATTGAACCCCCCTGATCCTTCACTGAGCTGCCAAAGGCCCCTTGATATCCAAAAAGGGACCCCTTGGTACCTAAAGTGGGACTTCGGCAGCGTGTTCTGTCCCAGCTTATACCAAAATACTCCTCCAGCTTCTACACTTGCTTTGAGAGACTATCAGATACAGAAACTACAACAAATTGACTTTTAAAGGTGAAAATGGGCTCATGAGAGCATCACTCCAGAGCAAACCTGCTCTGTTTTTGGCTGAAACATTGCTTTTAATCTGAGAACACTCAAGCCAAACAGCAGAAATCAGGAGAGAAGCCTCTCCTGGTGAATCATTGCCTGTAACAAGGATGCTGCAAGCCAAGGCCGTGCATCTGGGGACAAACACACAGCTGACACCGTGGGCTGGCACAAAGCTGAGTTCAAAAGTAATTCTCCTGACAGGTAGGAACAGAGCACAAGTCCCTGTCAGCTCAACTGAGCCCTAAGAAACAACAGGAACAAAAGAGCAGAGAAAGACTGGAAGCTGTGAGAGATGCCATGTGAGGCCCAGCTGTGCTTGGGGACAGAGAAAGGCAGCACCTGATACATGAGAGGGTTATTTTACACAGTCACGATCAAACCAAGGTGTAACCACAACTCACTGACTGGTCCCAGTTCCCTTCAAACACTCGACAGCACCTCCCAAACACCAATCCCTCCTAAACATCAATCCCTCCTAAACTCTTGAGGCTGAGGGGAGACCTCACTGCAGTTCCAACTTCCTGGGCAGGGGCAGAGGAGGGGCAGGGACTGAGCTCTGCTCTGGGGGGACCAGGGACAGCAGCCAGGGAATGGCTGGAGCTGTGTCAGGGCAGGCTCAGGTTGGATCTCAGCCAAAGGTTCTTCCCCCAGAGGCTGGTTGGGCACTGCCCAGGCTCCCCAGGGCAGTGGGCACAGCCCCAAGGTTGCCAGAGCTCAGGGAGGGTTTGGCTGATCCTCTGGGGCACAGGGGGTGACTCTTGGGGCTGGGCCTGTGCAGGGCTGAGGGTTGGACTCCGTGATCCTTGGGGGTCCCTCCCAGCTCAGCACATTCTGTGCCTCTGTGACCTCACCACGGTGGGGATGGGCAGGTCCCTCCAGGAGAGGAATCTGTGCCTGTGCCAGCCCCAGGCTGGGGGGAAGCAGCCTTCCCTCACCCTCCTCCCTTTTAGTCCTTGTTGCCAAATTGGTTGTGAACAGAATCCCAGAATGTGCTGAGTTGGAAGGGACCCCCAAGGATCCTGGAGTCCAACCCTCAGCCCTGCACAGGCCCAGCCCCAAGAGTCACCCCCTGTCCCTGTGAATGAACATGCTCACTTCTCCTATATGTGTGTGAGGATGTTTTATTCCTTGGGATGACAACTTGGAGGGAAAAAAGGCTCTATTTGCTGCATTTCCTTTGCTCCCTGAGTGCTGATGTCAAACAAGCTCCCACCATGTGCAGTGTAGAAGTTTAATCCTGGCTCTTCACCAGGGCCAGCTCTCCTTGGGCTGGTGCTGCCTGTGCCCAGGGCTGAGCCAATTCATCCCAGCTGGCACAGTCACTTCATTAGCAGGTGCCAGAGGGCAGGAGCTGCCCGGGGATGGCCCCTGGCATCAACCTGTAAGTCAAACACCTTTTTTCTCTTTTCCTAAATGTTGAAGGTGAACTCTTGGCACTCAGGGCTTGCTGAGAGTTTTGTCATTTAGGAGGGCCTTGGATCCAAGACTCCACTCCAAGGCTCCAAAACACTGGAGCCTCTCTGCTCTGGAGTCAGGCTGGGAGAGCTGGGGGGGTTCACCTGGAGAAGAGAAGGCTCCAGGGAGACCTGAGAGCCCCTTCCAGGGCCTAAAGGGGCTCCAGGAGAGCTGGAGAGGGACTTGGGACAAGGGATGGAGGGACAGCACAAGAAGGAATGGCTTCCCACTGCCACAGGGCAGGGTTAGATGGGATATTGGGAAGGAATTGTTCCCTGGGAGGGTGGGGAGGCCCTGGCCCAGGTTGCCCAGAGAAGCTGTGACTGCCCCATCCCTGGAAGTGTCCAAGGCCAGGTTGGATGGGGCTTGGAGCAACCTGGGCTAGTGGAAGGTGTCCGTGCCCATGGCAGAGGGGTGGAACTGGGTGATCTCTAAAGTCCCTTTCAAACCAAACCATTTTGGGATTCTCTGAATTAAAAAAATCAATGCATTTGGTGATTAAAAAAACTCAAAACCAACGAACCAAACCAAACAAAAAGCCCAACACCACCACCCCCCATCAAAAAAAAAAATTAAAAACCCCACAACAAACTGTCTCAGAGTGGGCTCATGTCGAGGGGACCCCATTCCTGCAGAAGTCAGTCACTGGCTACCCTGGTGCTCAGGCTTTGAGCTTTGTACCAACTTGAAGTCAGCAGAAGATCTCCAACAGTTCCATTGCTGCACTGGGCTCAGTGGGGCTGCCTTTTCAGAGAGCTCTTGCCAAGCCCAGCCTGTGCAGCTGAGGGAGGAAACACAGCCTTTCACAGGTCTTTTGGTGTGATAAATACCTGGCATGGGACGGGATTTCTGCTTTTGAAGCTCTGCATTTCCTGACCCTTAAACAGGCAGTTTGATCAATCCCTTTGCAAACACTGGGCCATCTGACTGTGGCTTGGTAGATCTGCACTAACCCAGAGGGAGGTGGATCCAAACCCACCTCTCCACCCCAGAGCTCCCTTCCCTGGCAATCATCTTTACCAAGCTTCACATTTCACTACAGTTCTTCCCCTATTCATTTTTATTTCCTCTCTGCTTCACTCAGTGTTCAAACCAAAACAAACCCCAAGCTCTGAGAAATGAGAGTGACATTTGCTGTTCGATGCTGGAGGCACAAACTGTATCTGTTATATTTCCCAGGAACTGTGTTTCTGCGCTACGGATGCGTGAAGGGGAGGATAAACCTGGGAGCTGCCCTTCCTGCCAATAGGCTGCTAGCAAGGAGTTGTCAAAATAAATGCATTACTCAGCTCCTTTGAGGTGCTTACAGGGCTATTTCAGAGCTCCCTCATTTCCCCACAGAGTGAAGCTGCTCCTGCTGTCAATAACCATTCCTTACATCCCTGCTCCCAGGCCCAGACTATCATGGATGGAAACGCTCCCACCTAAACTCTGTCTGCAGAAATATCCTGAACTTCCCAATGACTCCAGGCTCCTGGATCTGGAACTTTGACATCCATGACCACAGGGCTGTGCCAAACCAACTGATGATGTCATCACCCAACACTGATTTCTGACAGTGCCTTGGATTTCACAGAATCATGGAATGTGCTGAGCTGGGAGGGACCCCCAAGGATCATGGAGTCCAACCCTCAGCCCTGCACAGGCCCAGCCCCAAGAGTCACCCCCTGTGCCCCAGAGGATCAGCCAAACCCTCCCTGAGCTCTGGCAGCCTTGGGGCTGTGACACTTCCCGGGTCTCTCAGCTCTGCAATGTGGTTTTGTAACCTGATGCATAAAAACTCAGCAGGGAGCAGAGGGAGCTGCTCCCAACTTCTACAGAAAGGTGACACTTTCCCACAGGGAATCCCAAGTGCTTCACCACTCCAGTTTTGCTAACAAGGCATTTGTCCCACCCACGAGAGGTCTGTGGCCAAAGGTTGACTCCTCTGCTTGTGTTTGGCCTAAAAGTCGAGCAGCATCAGATTCCTTGGGGGAAATGATGTGCAGTTTGCCCTGGCCGACCTCCAACCCGCTGCAGGCCTTCACAAATCAACTCTGTGATGGATCCACAGGCTGGAGAAGACTGGAGGGAGTGGATGTCAGTGTGTGGAGTCCTAGAAAAGAAGCTGGATCAGCAGAGAACCTTTGCCAGTGGATCACATGCTGAGTCTTGCACATCCAGAGACTGTTGAACCAAACCAGGAGTTGCCATGAGTTCACACCCTAAGGACATGCTTTCCAATCCAACTGCCCCCTGATTTCTGGACAAACCTTAATTCTTAAATTAAATTGCATTTTTAATGTCTGTTTGCAGAGGCTTCTTGCTTGTGCAAAATTAGCAGCGGGAAGGAGAGACAGAAAATGAAGTCACGTGCTAGGAATTCACTCCATGGAATAGCAGCAACTGTGCCCTGCTTTTCTGTAAAGCACCACATGCCAAAAGAGCCCAAAGCACTTTCACTCCACCTCTGCCTTTAATCAGACAAAACATGTGTTGATTTTAACCATGTAAGACAGAGCAGGGAGCAGCCCAGGAGACTGGGGAGCTCCAGTGCCTAGGAGCCAGAGCCAGGGGCAGGAGGAGGCTGAAATGTTAAGGAGTCAATCAGGGGATGGAACACAACCCCAACCCCTCCTGAAGCCGTGGGGTGAATGTGTAGAGAACCTACAGAGGCCCGGTGCTGTCATGAAAAGGTTCCTAATCCCCCCTGAAACACATCTGAGCACTCCAGGGCTAATTCTGCACTGAAGAACCTCGTTATTGAGATCCCACTTTGCCAGCCCTGCTTCGAGAGGTGACAGACTGACATTTTAACAGGTGAGAGACTAAATTGGGGCTGGCAAGGGCTCACTGAGGAATTCACTCTGAATTAAGGGAACCATTAAAACCCCTATTGATGGCTTGAGATGCATTTTAGAGATCCTGGCCCGGCAATTTTTAAAACCCACAGAAATACTGTCACACAAGACACTGGATGGATACACATTCTCAGAGCTTGCTGCTTCATTCCTGCACTTGGGAAGCACTAAAGGGGGAGCAAGGTCAGCAAAGGCACTGGAAACAAGATGTCCTGGGGCAGAATCTCCCAGACTGGAGAAAAACCAGAAACACTAAAACTTAGCTCTTATCAATGTCACAGAACCATCAAAGAATCATCATGGAATCCCAGAAGGGTTTGAGTTGGAAGAGACCTGAAAGATCATCTTGTTCCACCCCCTGCCACAGGCAGGAACACCTTCCACTAGCCCAGGTTGCTCCAACCTGGCCTTGGACACTTCCAGGGATCCAGGGGCAGCCACAGCTTCTCTGGGCAACCTGTGCCAGGGCCTCCCCACCCTCACAGGGAAGAGTTTCTTCCCAATTTCCCATTTAACCCTGCCCTCTGGCAGTGGGAAGCCAATCCCCCTTGTCCTGTCACTCCAGGCCCTTGTAAACAATCTCTTTGCATCTTCCTTGTAGCTCCTTCAGGCACTGCAAGGCCATAATCAGGTCACCCTGAGGCTTCTCTTCTCCAGGCTGTACACACCCAATTCTCCCATCCTTTCCTCCCAGCAGAGCTGCTCCATCCCTCTGATCAGTTTGATGCCTCCTCTGGACTTGCTCCAACAGCTCCACGTCCTTCAGATGCATGAGTTATTTGTCCATCCAGTATTTAAAAATACTGCTTGGCAAATTCTGGTCTTGATCTTGCAAACAGCACCCACCTACTTTAACAATTTTCAACCAGAATATGACTAAGTGAATCCCAAAATGTGTATTTTCCACAGGATCAGGGCTCACTCCTGATCTTCTCAGAGGCTCCAACTCAGCAAAACCCTAAACACGTCCTTGGCATCTACCACAAGCAGCTCCAACAGCTTCAGGTCCCTGAAATTCCACATTCCACCCTTCTCCTGCTCCAGAGCCCCAGATTTCACGGGGGCCAAACCAGCTCATTATAATTCACACTGATAAATGGGCTGCCATCCACCTGAAGGGTTGAGGAGCTCCTCCCACCCTCCAACAATGTTTAGGAGACAAGGCAAGTCCATGCACAAAAATGATCACATCCCTGATCCAACAGTCCCAGAGGCACCAGGAGATTCCAGCCCTTAAAATGGAGCATGTGGGAGCATCCCTTTGTAACCCAGTTATCCTGGGAATGAGAAAGAAAAGGAAAGGAGGGAAAGAGGGACTCTGATAGCAGAGCATGTGCTGTTGGAGAAGGGGAAGGTCTGAGCTGCCCCTAAAGATCCAAATCAAGGCCACTTTCAGAAGGACAATCTGGGTTCTTAGAGACTGTGAAGCCAGAAGTTCATTTCATCTCCCCTTGGTTCTTCTCCCTGCTTGGAAATGCACTGAGCCAAAGGTAAGCAGCTGGTTGGTGACTGTTCCACCCTTTCCCTTTGTTATTCCCTGCACAAAAATGGGATCTGCACCCACGGGACACGATGATCCTGCCCTTGGGTGGCTGCACCAGCTCATGCCAGAGCATTTCTGACTGGGGCCACTGGGTCTGGAGCTGTTCTCCAAGGCCTGTGCTGGCTGCAAAGAAGAAGGTGACTCTGAATGATCTTAGAAAAACCAAATTGCCCCCAAAGAGTCAAATCTCCCAAGCACACACACACTGCTCTGTGCAAGCAGTGGGTTTCCATCTCTGGCCTTCCCAGGTGGTTTGCTGGAGTGTGGGAGCTGCAGAGGGGGGAGACACCTCCCTCACACTCACAGCAGCTTCCCAAAATTGTTTTTATACCAATAATTTAGCAAAAAAAGCTCATCTGGCCAATGTAGTCCATGGAAAACTCCTGTGCACTGCCCACAGCAAATGAACCCCATCACGAGTGCAAAGAGCCATCACAGACAACCCTGGGGTTGGATTCCACATCCTGCCTTTCAGAGCTGGATGAAAAATTCAGCTCCCAACTTAAACACAAAAAAATTGCTGCTCTTTTGCCTTTCTGAGCGCCCCAAGTGCCTCCAGAGCTGCTTTTGAACCACACTGAGGATCAGATGCAAGAGCCAAAGCTCTGCAGTGTCAGCCTGGGATTTGGAGCATCTGTGTGGTTGGTTTTTCTCCCCATTAATTTAATTTGACAGAAAAGAGCAGGAAAGCTTCTGGTTCCCGTGTGGGCAAAGTGGATAAACAGCAGGAATTGTAAGGGAAGCTGAAACTAAACCAAAAAGCAGGAGGCTGCTGCCCTGGCTAAGAGCCTTCTGTGCTCCCTCTCCCCATCCCAGTCTCTGTGCCCTGTGTGATGTAATGACGCTGTTTTCCTGCTTGCCCCTTGTTCCAACCTCACCTCTGTGTTTTATTTAGACCATTTGGAAGGGAATAACAACCCATCCTGTCCCATGATGGATCCCATGATGCAGGAGCACAGGATCAGTGCTTTCTCCTGATCTTCTCAGAGGCTCCAACTCAGCAAAACCCTAAAAACATCCTTGGTGTCGATCACGAGCAGCTCCGACAGCTTCAGGCCCCTGATGTTCCACATTCCACTCTTATCCCTGATATTCCACGGTCCACCCTTATCCCTGATGTTCCACATTCCACCCTTCTCCTGCTCCAGAGTTCCAGATTTCACTGAGGCCAAACCAGCTCTGATAAAGCTCTCTGACTGCCCCCCAAACCCACCCAAATTTAGACTCAACAGCAGCAAATCCTAATCCTGCTGCTTGGGAAAATTCTGCAGGAGTGAGTAATTCCTGAGTGGGCAGACATTTGTGTAGCTCTGTAGAGTGAGAACTGTGTGGATTCAGCACCACAATTCTTCTTGCAGGGGAGATCTTCAAACCTTGTTTGTGTTTCTGGTTCCCCTGCCGGGTCTGTGGTGTGGGCAGAGCACACATGGTTCTGTCTTACACCCTCAGCTACTCTGGGTGACACAAGACATCTCTAAGTGCTGATTCCTGACACCACCAGCTGATTTCCACCCCATGGAGCAGCCCCAGGATTGATCCAAACAGGAACATCTCTGGCCTCTCAGCAGCAGCAGCTTTTCCAAGCCACAATCCTTTACTTCTTTGCTCAGCCAAACTGAAATGCAGCCAGATTGGAGGAGGCTTGAGGACTAATCCCAGCCCTGGTTTTGGAGCTCAGTGCTTCCAAGTGGGGAAGGGCCAAGGTGACTTTCTGTGCTGACTGAAAGGGTGTGTGGGAGTTGGAACTTGGATAGATGCAAATGCAACCAGGCAAGTCAGGCTCTTCCTTCTGCAAAGCACATCCCATAGCAAATCCCTCTCAACAATTAGTTACACCAGGCCTAAATCTTACTCCCTCCCTCTGCAATCAGTGGGAAATCTTGGCTCAAGAGGAGAAGGAGTTTTGCAATCAGGATCAGTAGG